GTTAATACAGCACAAGCACAATGGCAGCTTTTCTTCTCGCTCAATGTACAATTTTAGTCAAAGGGAGGAATTTTTGTGGTTATAAGGTGAACAATTTTTTTTTGCCAGCCATTTTAGAAGCTATTAATTGAATGCCTGTGGCTTAGAACTTTCTTTGCTCCCTCCATTAATTAAAATTTAGAATTTGTAGATGATTTTTATAATTATATAAGAGAAGAAATTTTTTTTCCTAGAAAGGAGATAATAATTATGGAGGAACATGATAAAGTAGTGAGTAATACAGAGAAAGTACAACAGGAATGTCTTCAGAAATTTACAGCTTTTCAGAGATGCAACTTCCAGTCATGTCCTTTCTAGTGGTTTTTTTTTTCTGAAATGCTAAGATTAAAGGGTGTTTCGGTAAAATTGCTGATTCCAGGCAGAATAGAATGGTGTTATTAATTTTAGGTTTTATAGAAAATTTGCTTTAACATACTCTTTAGATGGTCAAATATATTTGATTATTGGGCTACATTGTAGGGCACATGGACGTCAGATGAAAAATGAGACTCTTCTCACATTTTTCAATTCAAATATAAATATGATAAATATAATATTTATATTATATATAATACATGTATATGTAATTTGAATAAGCACACACACACATATATATATACACCTATAAATATATAATATATAATATATACATATATAATATATACATATATACATATATACATATATACATACATACATATATACATATATAATATACATTATATATTATATAATATATACATATATATATATTATATATATATATATAAAATAAGGGTTGGGCTCTGTGATCTTGGAAATATTTCTAAGCTTAATGATTTTATGATTTTATTAAATAGCAGTTTGGATTTTGCCCTAGCATAAACATTTAAAATTTTCTGTTTAAAAAAGAATTAAAATCTGAATTAGTCATGCTCTCAGGATAAGAAAACTGTTGATGTTAGGAAGTGAGGTTGTAATGAAGCTGTTTAATGAAATGGTGCAATTTAAGGCATTTAGTAGGTACAGAGACATCAAACAAGAAAGAAAGAAGTTGGAACTGAAGATGAAATAATTACTGTGATGATTACATTTGAGTCCACTCTGTGTGAATGCAGATTGCTGCACGGTGGGGAGAGGAATGATTTTCTTGACTTGAACTTGTGTTATAAGGTTCTGTGGGAGGCAATCTCCCACCAGCATCTCTGGGTGGCTGCCTTGGTACCAGGTTGCCATGGTGACAGATGGAGGCTTGCCCAGTTAAGCATCCTCTAAACACGGTGGTATTTTCAGTCTGGGGCTTCAAATAATCATCTTTGCTTCTTTGTTGTTTGCATTAATTACCTGCCTGTTGGTTCTTTGAGCAGAACTGCAGGTGAGGCTGCTTAACTGTTTGATTTCTGCTGTATCTCTCTCTCTCTATACTTATATATGGCTCTCTGTGGGGAGAAAGCTGACCTGTGCTGGAAACTGCACCCAATTTCTGTCTTCTGTGAAGTGGTGGCAAAAGTGGCTGAGCCTTATATTGCAATTCAGATCTGATTCTACTGAAATGCTCCTGGGGAGCAGGGGAAGCTGCCCCTGGGTGACAGAACACTGTGCATAGGAGCAATAATAGCATCAGTTACAGTTTTGGATGGTTTTTGCATTTCAATGCAGCTCTTTGCCTTGCTTGTGAGGAATGGGGGCAATATCAAATATCTACCTTTTGTTAGTGATGTGTTAAAGTGGCAGGTAAGCCAGAGGCAGTGCTGGAATGTGAAACATGTGAAGGGTTAAACTTCTCAAGAGGAGACCTTATAGCATGTGTGTATATGTTAAATCATAACTGATTTTTCCAGGCTTTGCTTCACAGGTATTGTGTGTGCTCTGTTTGCAGCAATTGAGGCACAGAGAGACCACTCTGCCTCTTGCCCAGAAAAGAGGCTGTGGTTTGTGGGGTTTTCTGCTGCAAACCTCAACCTCACACCCCAATATTCACATTTTAGTGTTCATTTCCACTTTAATATGCTTTTGCTGCTGTTCCTGGTGCCTTCCCTGCCCTTGTACCACTTTGGCTCAGAGCTCTCCCTCCCAAACATCCACTTCCCTCACTGTTATTATAGTGGCAGTCCAAGAGCCCATTTGGGGCCTTGGGTCCAGCTCCAGGAACAGGTGTGGAGTGATGTGGCAGTACTGTGATTCTCGATGTGTGAGGTACCAAAACCAGCAACATTCCCAGCTGGCACTTGCACTGTGATGTGGTCTCTGTCACCAGCAGCCTTGAGTTTTCGTGTTCTGTGTGTGCTGAGAGACCAACTCTGGTCTTTTGCTGTGCCCTCTGACCCTCCTGGGCCTCTTCTTCTCCCATCCTTTTCCTGTTATGTGTTTGTGATGATTTCTGCAGCAAACTTGGGCCCACAACAGAGCTGGAAGTGGCTGAGAGGAAGGGGAGGACCAGCCCTTGAACTGATCAGGTGATGCTTGGTTTGGGAACCCTGCAGGCTGCATCTCCCAAGCCTCAAGGACACATCCCTGCCCCTGCAGAGCTCAGATCTGCTGGAGGATGGGCATGGACAGGGCAGTGAGATATTAATAAGCCTGATCCTTCCCTCAACGCTGTTCTGGTTTTTGTTTTTGGTTCAGGAAAGAGGAAACTCCTGTCCATCTTCAACAGGTCCATGTGTGAATGTGCCAGGGGGTGGGGGAAAGGTGACACATGCCCCAAAATGGGGAGTAAACACTGGGTAGGTGCAATCAGGTGGGTAAAAGGTGCAGAGGGAAAGGAGGAGGTGGTACCTGGGCTGCCAATCAGCTGCAGTTCAGTGGAATCTGGAGAGTTATCCTTTTACAAACTTCTCTGTTGGTTCAGCTCCTGGGAATGAACTGCCTTTGTTCCCAGCTGCACTGCAATGTTTATTCATTAGATTTTAATAATGAAAGTCAAATCTCATATCCCTTAATCAGTGTTGGTAACTGAATGCTATTAATTGACTACTCAATACCTGTTAGCATGAAAAGCCAGCAGAGACCTTCAGTGACAGCAGCCTTCAGTTTATGCATTCATTCTGTAAATTATTAATAACTGCTATTGATCCTCTCCCAGCTGATGAAATATTTGTCTTTTTTAAGAAGTAACTTCTTTTTTTTCTTTGACAGATAAGACAGATTTATTTAGGAGATTTGTTGCTTATTTTTACTCCAGGAGGCAAACTATCTTTGCAAGTTTTTTGAAGGGGTTGTCCATGTTAACATACCATGGCTGTTTCTGTATTATGTTCTTCCTTGGTCTCTTCAAATATTTTTGGGTGTAGTCAAGGCCACTGATCCAGCCAGATGTTTTTGCAATATAATTTCCTCAGTAGGAAGTATGGAAAGACCTTTATCAGTTTCATTACTGGTTTTCTCACAAAACACTTATGTGAAAACCCAAGATAAATAAGCCCATGAAACTAGGGAAAAAAGAAAAAAAAGGCAGAAGGGTATGATGTTTTAATGGAAACATCTGCAGCTGCTCTTCAGAAAATGTCAAATTCTTCAGATAGGTCTACACTATTGTAACATTTTTCCTCTCTTTTAAATTTTTTTTAATGGGGAAAAAAGCAGCTTAACTGCAGCACATTGCAGCAGTTTCACTACAGGGCTAGGAACAGGACTGGGTTCTCCTACCCCCAGTCCATGAGTTGGTGACCGGAGTGTTCTGTAGTCTCTCCCCAGGACTGCTATATTTGCTTCATTTTCATTTCATTCACTCCTGCCATGTTAGCTTGGGCCATCTGTTTTTGCTGTCAGTTCTTTTTGCCATTTCTTCCACGGCTGCTTTCTGCTTGGAACAATCTGTTTGGATGACAACTCAAAAACTGCATGTACTAGGACACACAGAGGGAGCTGATTGCATTCTCATGGTAACAAGGCGGGGAGCCAAAAGGAGAGAGAAATTATGATGTATGAGTGTGGCTTCCAGCCTGGCCTCTTGGTGAACTTTATTCAGCACATCCTGTTGGTTCAAAAGGATGATACAACCTGCTAGAATATAACTCTTGTCTTACTAGAAATTCACTTGTAGCCAAAGTAAGCACCTCAGTTTATTTAAATCTCAGTTTGTGTGCTGAAGTAAAAGGCAGAGATGTTCTTAGGAAGCTGAGAGGTTGTGGGCTGGGTTCCCTCCCTGTGCACCCTTTCTAGTTCCCTTCATTCCCACACTTGCTGCAGGGCTTGACTCTGATATTTTCCACTGCAATTGTGAGGATTTATGACATCACAACTAAAAAGAGATATTGATTGCCCCCTCTGTTTTTACTGTTCCTTCACTTGGGTGTCTCAGCTTCAAGAGTCGCAAGATGGAAATAAAATGTATTAAAAAATGGATGAGAAAGAAGCAATTTTTTGGGGTAGACTTACCCATACTTTTAATTCTTGTTGCCACACACAGCTGCACATTCTATCTCTGGATCAGACCATGTGTTCTTCTGGAGATGAAACCTCTGACCTGACTGTGTGGGAGCTTTGCTGCTGTGCTCCAAAATATTCAGAACTGGAAAGAGAGACATAGAACAAGTGTCAGGAAAACTTAATTAATTTAGAACAGTCATAATCATACTTCTTCCCTTTTTGTTGTTGTTGGGGTTATATAAAAATGAAATGTTGGAGAGGGCAGCTTTCTGTTTACAAACAGTAAAGTTTGTAAGTTCTCTGCCTGGCTGGGTGACCATTGTACCAAGTGCTGGCTGATGCATCAGAATTCCTGAGCATGTGGTGCAAAACTTGCTCAGCACATGTAACATTGGACAACAACTGTTTAATTAGATGGCTTCAGTTCCTTTTAATGATTATTGGGTTTTGAGGGTTTTAATTCCACCACCTCACCACTCTGGTATAGTGTTTGAATGAAAAAAATCAGGATTTGGATGGACAGCTATGAGAGTATTTACATATCAAATCGCAAGAGCTGTGCAGTGCATACACAGAAGTATTCCTTAATTCCTTTTCTTTTTATCTTTTAGGTCTCTCAGCAGCCAAGCTACTGACTGAGTCAGGCCTGAATGTGGTGCTGCTGGAAGCCAATGACAGAGTTGGTGGAAGAACTTTCACCGTAAGGGTAATTATCCCCAGAGCCATGTTTATACCACATATTCAGACAGAGTGTGCCATGTGAGGGAAAATTTCTAGAGTACCAGCAGGTGGGAAATTTCCTGATGTTGTACCAATAAGAGAAGGGAAAGACTGGCAGGATGGTGGGGACAGAATATTTCTGCGATCTTCAGGCTCTGGATTCATCCACCTGGGATGGAGAACACAATGAGCTAAGTTTCAAAATCATTTCCTGGGGAAAGACACTGCAGAAATCACTGTGGAAGAAACACACATGAGGCCAACCATGCTGTATTGAGCTGAACTGTGGCACGGCCGTACAGAGTGATGTAGGGCAGAGGAGTGTCAGGGCTGGTTGGGAAATAGAACAACTCCTTTCACTCCATTCTTCTGCTCTGTCTTGATGTGGGACACCCTCTCTCACTCTGCCCACTAGAAAATCTTGCCTGTGCTGCTTCTTAGGGTAGTGTGTTTTAAACTGATCGTTGGTGAGAGGCCTGACTGAGCAACAGCTGCACAGATGTCTCTGACTCTCCTCTCTCTGCCTGCCAGGCTCTTTCCTCTTTTTAAGGCTGCAATGTAACAATAAGTCACCTATTCTGGTTATGAACTCCAAATTATAATCAATATGCTGGTTATGAACTCAGTATTCACCACACCAGAACTCTACCAAAGAATTTGTTTTCCATGGAGAGAAGAATCTTAGCCAAAATGCCCTGGGAGTATTTAATTTAATTTAATTCTTCTGGATTGCTCTCTTAGCTTGTATGCTATTTACAAAGGGCTTATCTCTTTTGGTTTTGCTTTTTTTTTTCTTCCCTTTTGTGTGTGTTGTGTGTGATAAACCAGAATAAGCAAGTTAAATATGTGGACCTTGGAGGGGCTTATGTGGGGCCAACACAGAATCGTCTCCTGAGGCTCTCTAAGGAGCTGGGAATAGAGACATACAAAGTGAATGAAGTTGAGCACCTGATTCACCATGTCAAGGTAAGAGATGCTCTCAAGCTGCTGCTGTAAACATGAACATTGTAGTGATCTCCTTTCTCCTTGTTTTCCACTCTTGCTGCAATGGAGAGTACCTGTTTGAGTCTGCAGCATCTGAGTTTGTTGGTTAAAAAAAATAGGTGTGTTGGTAATGAAATCACCAACAAATTGCTGTACTACTACAAATTATGACACACACACACACATATTTATTTGTGTACCCTGTGTGTGCATCCTGTTAGCTCATGCTGTGGTTCAGGTTATATGAAAGCTCTCAAAAAACTTCCTTGTTTTAACTCTGTGTTTCATTATGTGCTTAGGAAAAGCCATTGGGCAATGACTAGCAAAATATTTGTAGGTGATGTTTGATCAAAGGTTAAAGACATTCACAGTTTTAAAACTGTGACTCTTCTGTGCAGGCCAACTCTGATGTGCACTGCCCAAGGTGTCTGAAAATCCCTTTCAGAAGTCCTGGAGGTATTTCCAAGCAGGCTGAAAGTCCCTCAGGATGGGCTCCCTAAACCAGTGACATTTATTATGCTGATGAAAGGAACGTGAAAGGCTGTGTCTGGTTGTGCTGATGGGGAGACTTAACATGAATGGTAACAAAATAGTAACTGCAAAAGGCTCTGGGAATCAGACAGCCTTGTGGAGGCAGATCTGAGCCTCCGCATGATCTGAAATAGAACAGCTATGGCAAAGCTGTTAAAAAGCCCACGTATTCTCAGTAGTCATTCTCCAGAAGAGCATCCATTCTCCTTTCCTGACATAGATCAGCGCTGCACTTGCACAGAAAGGAAACTTTCCTTGTTAGACCCAAGGAGGTTAACTCTGGGTTTCATTGTATGCTTAGGAAAAGCCATTGAGTGATGACTGGCAAAATATTTGTAGTTGATGTTTGATCAAAGGTTAAAGACATTGGCAGTTTTTAAAACGGCAACAGAGGAAAGATGTCCTGTCATGTTTTCCATTATTTTTTCCACTCAATTGTTATAAAAAAGAAAAGTGTTCTCAAAGTGATTTGCTATGGTGACTGTCTGTAATTACCATTTCTGTGGTAGAACTAATGGATACTTCCACGCTGCTCTGTTTTGTGTGCCTCTGGCATTGTTTTCAAAGCCAAATGTTCTGTTTGTTCACAGTTTTTAGCCTTCAGATCTCCCTAACAGTGACAGGAGGTCATACCACGAGGGGGAACACTTGACATGGCCAGTCAGGATGCCCAGCTCTTCAGGGCAACCTGCTGTCCTGAAAAGCATGGTGGCATTCCAAAATACTGCCAGAAATCACTGTTTATTGGGGTTGTTCCCAGTCAAATGTTGAGAGTCTCCAAGGATAGAGATCCCAGCTGCTGGCTGGGCACTCCCAAGCCATGCTAAGACCCTAAAGGTTGTATGGAAACAGTTTGTAGGCTCAATTGCCTGTAGGAGTTCCTGAAGAGAGGAGGGAGAGAACTCCGTGCCAGAACTTGCTGCTAGCCAAGCAAGAGGTAAAGAGAAGAGATAATTCCACAGTCAGCAGCACTTCCTTTGCATTTCGTGATTTCATTCATTTAAAATCCTTTATTTCTGTTTTCCTCCTGTGTTTATCCAATTGTGGGGAATCATTAGCATAGTTGAAGAATTACTCACAGTTAAATAATTGGCATGTGAGCGCTATATAATAAATACATGCACTGTCTTGTGGCCAAATCTTCAGCATTTCATGTATCTTCAACACATTCCTTGCAGGTTTCTGAACCATGAGGCTTGTCCAGGGTTTCCCTGAAAATGAACAGTGCTCGTGGGCTCCTTGAAATCTGGGCAGTGCTCCCAGGTTGTATATTCAAAGCACACAGAGGGCTGTGTCCCTTGTGTGAATTTGAATTCACATGCTGACCCGAGCTTTGTGACTGTGGTCAAATGTAATTAAATTCTGGACCACAAAATTATCCGAGCCCAGAGAGCTGATTAAACCTAAAGGTTTTAATTCTTCTTTTTGCTGCACAAAAATCAGGCATCACAGTGCATCTTGTAAAATCAGCCACTGTTTTTACTTATACCCAAAGGCAAAATAAAGCCTTTCATGGTTAATTAAATTCATTTTAGAGGCTTTTTAATACAAGTAATATATGCCTCTTCTTTGTACTACAAAATGAAAAGAATGCATTTTGTTGATCTCTGGGTGGGTCTCTGCTAATTAGGCTTTACCAGCTTGATTGGGTTTTCTCCTTTAATCTTTTTTAATGCCAGGTTCTATTGTGAGATTAATTTTGGTCTTGCTTATATGACGTGTGATATTTTCACAGAAACTCAAAATTATGTTTCTTGCCCTAATTTTTTTTTCTTTTCCCTCCACTTGTTAAGCAGCCTTTTTCATGGTCTTTGAAAAGAGATTAGTATATTCTTTTCATTTTTTAAATACTGGTTCATCAGCCTTAGTGAGAAAATTAGTATAGCTCTGTAAGTAGCATTTGGTAGGCAAATTGCTGCCTGAACACCATTGATTTTTCAATAGCCCAACTGAAATTAGGTTCATAAATCCAGATTTAAGAAGCAAAAGCAGAACTGTCTGAGAAGTCATCATCTCCTAACAGTTCTCCCACTGGATTGGTAGGCAGATGTAAAATCTGTAAAAATGCCCCTTAAAATGGGAATAAATTCTTAGCTGACCAGGAGAGGATTCAGGGTCCTATCTCAGATATGCACATTTGCAACTTTTGACTATTGGTGTTTATTTTCCTCACCAAAATGACAGGTTTTGTCTTTTTAAAAAACAAAGCTAAGAGCATATAGTCCCAGTAATTTTTACCATGTAACAGTCTCTGGAAAGAAGGAAAAACGAAAACGTGCCAATTATTGTGGGCGTTTAATTAACAAATTTTCCTTGTTAATTCAAGCTGTACTTCACTTCTGTGGAGCCTCATTAGCCATGCCAAGTTTCTGCATTCTAAAACACAAATTTACCATATTTTCAGTTGTAACACAGGTTCATTCTCCAAGGTAACTGTGGAACTGGTTTGCTCTGCTATCCCAAGTCTCTGTGAGGAAACATTTCTTTGTATGAATGGCTTGCCCAGTGAATGTTTTTACATGGTTCCTTCATGTGATGGGGGGATGATCCACTCTTTGTCCAGCTGTGATGCCAACTGAACATCCTCTGACCCTATTTTCTGCCAGATCTTTTTATGGGATAATGCCATTGATGCTTCTTGCAAATTTCATATTATAAAAAAATGGTAGAAACACGTTCCTTCTAATCTCTGTGTTGTCTCAGGGCAGAATAGTGGATAGTGCTATTTTCACATCCTGTTGCACCTGAAACATTCCTCTTGTGGTTATAATTGAGTTGTTTCTTTAGCACCAAAAAGGCCCCAGCACCCATCCTGGTGGTCTTTCAGATTAAGATGCTGGGAAAACATGAAGCATCCCCTGCCCTGGCACTGGAAAAGTTCTTGACAGCAACTTGCCACCCCACCCTTCCCTCAGTTAAGTTCCCTGTAAGAGAATGGAGTTTCCTCATGCTCATCCCTGTGCCAGCAGCACTGGCTGGAGGTGTCTGAGTGCATGTCATGCCCCCTTGAAGGTTGGCACCATTTTCATACAAAGATAAATAATTGACAGCTCTGGGGAGAATGGTAATGGGAGCCCTGCCTGCAGCACCTCATGAGGGTGAATATTTAATCCTCTGCACACAGTACTTTTAACCAGGACCCCAAATCTGCCCTGATTTTGGCCAGGTTGCCCCCTGATCTACAGTAGAGACTTGCAAAGCAAAATTTTACAGCCCTCTTGGGCGTCATTTATTTTCATCACTATTGTGCTTATTAAAATGCAGTTTGCAGTGGTCTTGTTCATGAATTAGAAGCATGATGGTCGTGTTGTATGGGGATTTAATTAGCAGCTGGATAAGTGACTGCTGTGTCTAAAGCTGAAGAATTTAGTGGTGTTTCTTCTGTGATTTCTGTGATACATGCACTGAAGCTAAGCAGTATGATTTATTTAAGCTTTTCACCTGCCTTGTCTGCAAGTCTAAGGGCAGTATCTTCTGGCATAGTCTGTACTACAGAACATAACTGCTTAAATGCATTTTTGAATGACTTGATAAAAGTGCTTTCATGTTCTTTGTAGATGTCAATTAGAGTGCAGTAAGAGAATGGAAAGACTGTGAGACTCAGGGGCTATCAGTTTAAATGAGGTGAAATAGCCTCTCATCTTTTGTGTTCTCTCCTTTTTGGTGACAACTTGTGAACAAGAATTTGGGGAACTGGGAAGAAGACATCTGAATGTTGAAGAAGCTGGGCATCTGCTCTCTTGAAAAGGAAGCCAAGTAAATTTAAAGGCACTTAAATTGCTGCAGGGCCTTGATAGTATCAGGTGGCTATACTGGAACACAGATCTATGTTATTTTAACCCTTTTCTGGAGATGAGGATGGAGACATTCCTGCCACAAGATGCTGTGTCATTATCATGCCCCTTTGTAGCTTCAAAAGTGAGTCTGAGGTTGGTCAAGCTCAAGTTGGTGAAAGCATCCTCCAAATCCCCAGAAGGGATATCCTGCAGTCAGAGAACGAAGAGCAGCTTTTGGCAGGAATATAGGAAAAACTGGACATGTTTGGTGTCACTGGACCTGCCCTGTAAATAGAGGGGCTGTCACAGACATCTTTTATGAAAAATCCTTTCCTTAGGATTTTTCCTCCTGAGAAGCTGAGAGGCCTCAGGAACAAAATGTAAACGATTATCTGCTGCTGTGGAATGCAACAGGTGCATCTGTGATTGGTCTCATGTTGGATGTTTCTCATTAATGGCCAATCACAGTCAGCTGGCTTGGACAGAGAGTCTGAGCCACAAACCTTTGTTATTTTTCCTTCTTATTCTATTCTTAGCTAACCTTCTGATGAAATCCTTTCTTCTATTCTTTTAGTATAGTTTTAATATAATATATACCATAAAATAATAAATCAGCCTTCTGAAACATGGAGTCAGATCCTCGTCTCTTCCCTTGTCCTCAGACCCCTGTGAACA